ATATCACAAGTATAAGAGAATAAAATGCATTCTCTTATGCAAGGAAGAATAATCCCCAAAATGGACCCAATCTTTTGATAAGAAAATGAGCTTGACTTGGAAAGTCATTAAATTGATTTTAAGCATGCAAAAGACACCTATAAGATAGAAAATTACAAGAAGGTGGAGAAGATTTTTATTTCAAAAACTAACTTAAGCTTGATACAAATTTTAATTAAAAATTAAATTGACCCACTGAAGCGGTAGGAGGGAGGGGCCTTTAAAGATCCAATGGAGTCAATTGCAATTCTTTCCTATTTTTGACTTAAAGTAGAGGTCAATTTACATTAAAAGATGGATCAACTATCTTGAAAAGTTAGACCCAATATACTTGGGAAGTGATATGTTTTCCTTAAAAGTTAGAAGTCTAGGTGGCAAGAGCCTATCAATGTAGAATTATATTTTCACAATCTCTTAGGAGGAAGAGATTGGTATGGGTTCTGTACAATCCCTAACTAGTGATGAATCAATTCAATCTAAAGATATATCATGATAGGAACCATTTAGAAGTTAAATGCAAATGATGTCATTATCTGATAAGATCTCAAATCCATCATTATTCCCCTCCCAAATTACTAGTAACCTAGTAATTATAAGAGTGGAATCCCGGGCAGTTTCAACACCTCCTCTTCTATTGATGGTATAGTGGGGCACATGTAGTAACCTGACCAAACATCATCTAGTAGAGTGGATGGGTCATAATCCTCCATTGGGGGCCTATGGCTTTTTGCTGGTATTTATTCAGTTCTAGCACGATTGATTCTTTTTGTGTAGTAGTCAAGAAGGTGTATTGGGGATCGCTCTCTTATTTTTTCAACCTCCCTCCTTTGAGTAATAGGTGAAGGGTGGAAAAGATTTCCACCAGAGAGTGGGTAGGTTTAAGGATCAACAAGTTCTCGATTAGCCTCAAATTTGACTTGCTTTAAGGCTCCTGACTTAGCAGTCTTTCTAGCCTTAGCAAACTTCTTTCTCACCCTTCAAAGGTAGTTCTTCTTCTTATTTTTGCTGGCAACAGGGGAGCTAGAACTTGACCTAATCTTGGCTTGAGATGGTAACTCTTTCATTATTAATGCTTCCTATTTCTTATCCTCCTAAGTAGAGGGCACAATAGTCAAAGGGGTGACATAAACCTCCATCCTAGAGATAGGGAGTCAAGTCCTGACCCTAAAGGAATCTTAACTAAGGGCCATCCCTTTGTATTCCAGTAGATATATCAATCATTTCTTCTCTGTTGATTGATAACTTGAATTTTTAAAATTCTATTCCAAACTGGATTGAGTTGCTATAGGTAATTCCTTATACTGTCAAGTTTATATCTAGGGAGAAGATGCATTTCCCAGACATTTGAGGGTTTGAATTCTTGGAATTAAGGAAAAGTGGTTTGAATTAGTTAATTTTAGATTCAAATTTGAATTTTGAGCATGATTAATTTTCTGTAAATCTTGAACCTCAACATATTGAGTTTTAACCCAACAAGAGAGTTTATATAATTTATTAGGAAAATTTAAGGAACCTATCTTGACTCTTTTTCTCTACTAATTAACTTGGAGGCAAAATGTCAAAGCCGGGCTTTGACAGAGGTTTCCTCACTCACCTCTCTATTTGATAGGTCTTATCTTCTTGATGTTGGCCAAACTCTCTCAAGAGAGAAATGGGTAGAGGGACCAATGGAAGAAAATGCAATTGAGACTACTAATGAAACAAAATTTCACCATGATTAAAGATAGAGAGAGAGATTTAGTCCCATCGGGCATGTCATTTTTTCTGTTGGTGGAATTTTTGAAAATAAGTTTTAAAAAATATTAGTTTTCTTTAGAAATTTAAAATTGAATTTTAGATCAGAATTTTGAGATTGAATGTAACATTAGAAAAGTCATACCACTTTGAGAAGTTGAAATAAAATTTCAAAATGGGGTTCGAAACTAAAATTAGAAATCCTACTTTGAATATTAGCAGATCCGAGATAGAATCGTATATGACCTTGAAAGGTCAAAATGCAGTTTGATCTAATTTATAGCTATGGTATTCTAAGTAGACTGTCAATAATCTCATGCACAAAACCTTACGAATAAATAAAAAATCTTCCTTAATGAAGAAGATAACACTGTTTAGTAAATATTCGGGCATGATGATAATGATTATTGTTGGTTAAATTTTTCCAAAGAATACCAAATTAGGGTTCAAAATTTTCTTTTGGAAATTTGGAACTAATTTTAGATTTCAATTTTGAAGTCGAACATACCATTAGAGATTATATACCACCTTGAAAGGTGGAGATAAAATCTCTTATTGGGTTCAGATCCAGAATTATAAATTTTTCTCTTAGCCATCATAATTTGAATTAAGGGAGAATCGCATATGACCCCGGGAGGGTCAAGATAAGGTATAATCTAAAATCAAACCATGATAATCAAGGGAAAATGATCATTAGTTTTATATTTGGATTGATGTTAAAACATGATAAATCATTCCAAAGAAAGAGAATATCATATATTAGCAATCATATGATTATGATAATGATGATTGTTATGAATTCAATTTCCCAAAAGAAATATCAACTGTATTTTAAAAATTGGTTTTAAAATTCAGGTGTGTGTGGCTCTAAATCTCCTACGAGCACAAGCCCTCGTAGTTAATTACATCGTAGGAGGATGTTGTATCATATGAAAACTCTCGATTGAAATAGTGTCAAAATTTTGCTAGAAGATTTTCTATGAGTGATATAAAAGAAGGTGAATTTGGAATTCCTAAAGAGAATGGATCAAGATTGAACACATATTAATAGATTCAAGGAATGAAGATTAGGGGACACTTTAAGATTCTAGAACCATCCAGAAGTGTCCCAACCTAATCTAATTATTGGGATTTATATTTTGGACTAAATAATATTTAGTTTGAGTTGAATATTTTATTAAAAATTTGGGATTACATTCCCGGAGGTTTGAATTTTATGATTAAAGATCTGCCCCAAATCCTAAATCTAAATTGGGTATCATACAGTGGTGACTTTAACCTAACTAATGTAATGCAAGATCTGGACTTACCCTAGCTTGGATTAGGGAGCTCGCTAACCACCTAGTCGTTTTTAAATACATGAATCCGGTCATTTTATAATAGAGTGGTAGGGACATTTTTATTTGTGTTTTGGAGCGTTGGGGCAGACATGTAGAGATGGTCCTAAGTGCCCCTTTGGCTTATATTGGGTGAAAATATTATATATTGAGGCAATTAGAATTTAGAATCCTTTAAATAAATTTCTAATATAATGTATGCTAGTTGACAGATCCAAATCATATATGCTTGAAATTTAAAAAAGGTGTAAAAATTATTTTTAGAAGACTAAGCTTCCCTAGGTCCGGCACCTCATCCTCATAGGTCGAATTATCCAAACTTTACCTGCAGATGCGGAAGTGTCTAAAATAAGGAAAGAAGAAGAGCGGTAATATGCATGTGACCCCGGGGGCGATCCCCGAATAATTCCCTAAAGTCATTATATTTCTATGTTGCTTAACTCCAAAATTTTTAAACTTTTGATTATGAGAAGAAAAAATTTTGCACCCTCATGAGCCTTACGTATCTAAACTAAAACAAAACTGACTCATAAATGCCAAAAAAATAAGAAAAGTAAGTGAAAGTTTGTTAAAGATGTTAAGCCCTTATGAACTTAGTCCCAAGCTAACCAAGAGGGGGGCACTACCATACTAA